GCTTCCTCGTCCTCCTCCTCCGCCTCCGTCTCCTCCTCCTTATCCTCCTCCCTCCCTCCTCCTCCTCCCCCTCCTCCTCCTTCTCTTCCTCCTCCTCCTCCTCCGCCTCCTCGTCCTCCTCCTCTTCCGCCTTCTCTTTCGCCTCCGCCTTCTCTTTCGCCTCCGCCTCCTCCTCCTCTTCATTATCCTCCTCCTTCTCCTCCTCCTGCTGCTCCTCCTCCTCCCCCGCTTCCTCCTGCTCTTCCACTTCCTCCTCCTCTTCCGCCTCCGCCTCCTGCTCCTCCTCCTCCTCCTCCTCCTCCTCCTCCCCCCCCCTCCTCTTTCTCTTCCGCCTCCGCCTCCTCCTCCTCCTGCTCATCCTCCTCCCCCTTCTCCTGCTCTTCCTCACCCTCCTCCTCCTCCTCCGACTCCTCCTCCTCCTCTTCCTCCTCCTCCTCTTTCTCGTCCGCCTCCGCCTCCTTCTCCTTCTCCTTCTCCTTCTCCTCCTGCCCCTCCTCCCCCTCCTCCTCGTGCTCTTCCTCGTCCTCCTCCTCTGCCTCTCCTCCTCCGCCTCCTCCTCCTGCTCTTCCACCTCTTCCGCCTCCTCCTCCTCCTCCTCCCCTCCTCCTATCATCCTCCTATTCCTTATCCTGTTCACCTCCTCCTCCGCCTCCTCCTCCTCTTCTGCCTCCGCCTCCGCCTCCTGTTATTATCTTCCTCCTCCCTCCATGTCGTCCTCCTCCCCCCCTCATCCTCCCCCCCTTCTCTTCCTCTTCCTCCTCATCCTCTCCTCCTCCTCCTCCTCCTCCTCCTCCTCCTCCTCTCATCATATCATCTCATCATCATCATCATCATCATCATCATCATCATCATCCTCGTCCTCGTCCTCGTCCTCGTCCTCGTCCTCGTCCCTCTTCCTCCCCCGTCCTCCCCCCATCCTTTCTCCTCTCCTCTTCCTTCCTTCTCCTCCTCCTCCTCCTCCTCCTCCTCCTCCTCCTTGTCCTCCTCCTCTCTTCCTCCTTCTCATCCTCCTTCTCATCCTCTCTCTCATCCTTCTCCTATTCCTCGTTCTCCTTCTTCTCCCTCTCCTTCTCCTTCTCCTCTTCCTGCCCCTCCTCCTCCTCCTGCACCTTCTCCTCCTCCTCCGCCTCCTCCTCCTCCTCCTCGCCTCCTCCCCCCCTGCTCGTCCTCCTCCTCCCCCTCCTCCTCCTCCTCCTCCTCCTCCTCCATCCCTCCTCTTCCCTCTTCCTCCTCCTCCTCCTCCTCGTCGGCGGTCTCCGCCGTGCAAGCGCCCGTCGTTGCGAGCTGGGGGGCTCCCCCGATATAGTCAGTCCCTCAGTTCCTCCTCTTCCTCCTCGTCCTCCTCCTCCTCGCTCTCCTTCTTCTTCTCCTCTTCCTCCCCCTCCGCCTCCTTCTCCTCTTCCTCCCTCCCCTCCTCCTCCTCCTCCTCCCTCCTCCTCCTCCTCCTCCTCCTCCTCCTCCTCCCCTTCTCCTCCTCCTCCTTCTCCTCCCCCTCCTTCTCCTCCTCCTCCTCCTCCTGCTCCTCCTCCTTCTCGGACGGAAAACCCCGCGGGTCTCAAGAGACGGGGGTCAATTCACAGGAGGGACAGGTATCCATGTAGCTACCCGTCTCTCGTTTTCCCTCTTTTGATCCTCCTGGGCGATTCTCGTTGCCAGCGCTTGATTCGCCGCGAGATCCTGGTCTGAACGCGCCCCAGGAGGTCCGGGGGACTGGGGGGTAGCGGTATCGGTACCCTTTGGTTCCCCCATGCCCGAGTGACCCGGGTCTGCTTGGACCCAGTGTCAGTTGATGCACGAACCCCGCAGGAGGCTCTCCGTGGTTTCTCATTCAGTGGCGAAGCTCGTAATGGTAACCATGGTCTGAATCATTGTTTCGCCGATCGGTGCGGTCCCTCGCAGCCCCTGCCCGCATGGAGTAGATCTTGGCTGTTTTTGGCGCCTGTCTCAAGCATGTGGAGTCCCAACCATAGGACGCACTGTTGCAAACAATCGCACCGAGCAGAGGTCCGGAGCCAGCAGACCTTTTCCGTCCTCCCAATGGCGAAACGCCGAACAAGAAAACGTCCATTAATGGTGGTAACGGGTAGTGGCCCTCCAGGGCCCTGAAGGGGCCCTTCAGGGCCTCTTTTGGAGCCAGCAGGGGTCCTACAGGCTCCCTTCAGGGCCCGTTTCTGCATACCCCATTCAGGCCACCACCCAGTACCACCCGCCCGAGAGGCTCGGAGTTCAAAGCTCGCCGGAGGTTCTCCGTGGATTCTGAGGCAGCGGCGAAGCGTCTTTGCTTGCTTGTATCGGCCACGCGCAGGGGGGGGGGGTAGGGATAGGGGGGGGGCTTCTGAGAAGCAGCCTCCTGAAAAGCCTTCCCCTTGTGCGCGCGGCCAACTCGGAAGCCAACACCCGCCGCCGGAGCTTCGGGGTCGTAGAATCGCGCCGCATCGCCGATGGATCGGCGATGCGGCTCGATGTGGAGCCCGATGCTCTCCACGCCGATGGTGCCGATGCATCGCGGCGTCGCCGGTGCATCGCCGATGTATCGACGATGCCTCGGCGATGCATCGGCGATGCAGCGCGATCCTTCGACCCCATCTAATCGGACCCCATCCGGGAAGCCTCCTGACCCCCCGGGGGCCGTGGCCGCCAGGCCCACGGGACGGGACGCTCTCGGAGCGTTCTGGAACGCGCCGCGGATCCTTCCAACCCACGGGATCTCGGAGATTCCCGAAACCTACCAGGTGGCCTGTTGGGTCCAGTCTGCTCCCGGCCTCGTTCTGAGGTTTCGCCCCCATCTCTGGTTAATTCAAGCTTCGCGCGGCCCGCTTAGCTTCGACAAGAAGAGGTGCGCTCTCGACCCGCGAATCAAAAAATTGTTGGGTCCAGTCTGGTTTGTCTGGTGTTTCTTATCGAGGGTGGTGGCTGAGGGTCGAGGTTTGAGGCGGCATGTCTTCCTCCTCTGGATGTCTACTCTGTGCGGTGCATGCGTTGTGGTGCTGGCTGAGTGCTGCAACGCATGCAGTACAAGCTATGTGGTACAACATACGTTGGGTACCCTATGTGGTGCATGCTACGTGGTGCAAGCTACGGGGGTCAAGTTATGTTTGACAATCTATGGGGTGCACGTAATAATTGTGTGCATCCGTTCGTGGCCACCTCCCAAGCTCAAGCGAACAGCCCACTCACTCACCCGCAACTTGCTGGCACAAGGAATTTCTTCATCACGACTGGTGTAATTTCCGTAGCCTTGGTACACGGTATTTCAATGTGTGTGGTTTCTCTTGCCAGTCTTTGTTCGGGGAATGTATGAAGTCCAAGGCTCGTCGCGAGCATCTTCTGAGCATCGAACTTTGGCTGCTGTGGTGGAGTTGAACGCAGCCACGCGATGGCTGTAGTTCCTGCACCCCCCGCGCGCCACGCAGTTAGCATACTCCAGAGGCCACGGCTTCATCCATCTGGTCTCAGCTGAGTCCAGGCGCGTGTCCGCAGTGGCGGTCGTGCGTCGGATCTTTTCGCCCTACTTATTTCTCCCCGCTGATCTCCAGGCCCCTGTAGATCCCCATAGGCCTCCATAAGTCTCAGGATGCCTTTGGAGGCCTCCAGAGGCCCGGGAAAGAGTCAACAATGCCCAAGGACGTCGATCATCCTCGATCCTCGATCCTCCCATTTATCCTCCCGTGCTTGGGCGACGAGAGTCATGCATGCACACCGACCATGGGCAGGCCTCCTCTGGACCCAGGACCGGTGCGGCTGCCTCGCATCCTCGGCCCAGCCAGGATGGTCCTGGCCAGGGTCGGTGTATAGTCAACCACGACAGTAAGGATGGGGCACTTGTCCAAGGCTACCACTCGCATCCTTGCCTCTCCGGTATTCGGCATCATTCGGCATTCTGCTGCGTTCCGCACGGAACACGTCAACATGGCGTTCCAAGGCCCTTGCATCCTTACCGCGCATCCTTACTATCCTGGTTGTCGGAGGGAGGAGAAGCGATACCAACACCACCAGGGGGCCCACCGCCAGCGAGGAGGTCCACGATGCCTCTCCGAGCTGGAGGCTGGGGATGTCTCGAGCGAGAGGGGGGGACCACACCACCAGGGAGTTCCCCCTTGCCTCCTCGCATCTCCTCGCCCTGCTGGTGTTGGCGTCGCCTTTCCTTGTGCCTAGGTCGAGTGTACATGCACAACTCAGGAGGGGAAAAAGCACACAGACACAATTAATCGTCGATTCCCAGAGAATATGCGAAGATATGGGAAGTGGGGGGGAAGACAAAAACCTAGAAAATATGGACAAATCTGGGGAATATGTTTATTCGTGTGTACTTATTTGTGTGTCCCAGGGCCCCTTTAACAGCTCCCGTCGCCAAAAGAAGCGCGAGGATCCGCCGGCGGGTCCAGGATCGAGGGCTCCCGGCGTCCCTGGGCGTCGTTTGCCTCCCTCCAGGGCGTCCTGGGCGCCTGCCGCAGGCATCCGGAGGCAGGCGTGGCTCTCGCCCTCCCTCGTCCTCCCTCCCTCGTCCTCCCTCCCTCGTCCTCCCTCCCTCCCTCCCCCCCCCTCCCCTCCTCCTCTGCCGCGGGGCTCTCGGCGTGTCTGTAGAGCAAAAGTGGCTCTCGTCGCCCAAGATGGGGAGGGAGAGCCCCAGACATCGAGGCCCGGGCAGGCTCGAGGCCCGAGCGGGGCGTCGTCGGCTCTCTTTCCGGGGGCGTCGTCGGACTCTTCCGGAGGCACATGCGCCGAGGCCTCTGTGGGAGGGCTGCTGGGGATCTCCAGGGGGGGGGGCCCAGGATGGGCCTTGCCAGGGTCGGTGTGTGTGTAAGTGTATGGGTCGAGTTGGCGCCCGCCACTCGTCGGGGCTTCCCGAGAGTGCGTCCCCCTTCCCCGCCTCCGCCTCCTCCTCCTCCTCCTCCTCCTCCTCCTCCTCCTCCTCCTCCTCCCCCTCCTGCTCCTCCTCCTCCTCCTCCTCACTCTCCTCATCCTCCTCACTCTCGTCCTCCTCCTCCCTCTCCTCCTCCTCCTCCTCCTCCTCCTCCTTCCCCTCCCCCTCCTCCCCCTCCCTCCCCCCCCTCCTCCTCCTCCTCCTCCTCCTCCTTCTCCTCCTCCTCCTCCTTCCCCTCCTCTTCCTCCTATTATTCACCCTCTTTCTCCTTCCCTCCCCGCCCCCTTCTCTCCCTCTTCGAAGAAGGAACAACGCCATAAACATCAACTCTTCACGCTCCACGCGGATTTTTTGGATCCGCGCTGGAGCGTGAAGTGTGGGCCAGGGGCGGCGCTGGAGGCGCCGCCGGGAGGGTCCAGCGCAGATCCAAGAATTCCGCGCGGAGCGCCACAAGTTTATGCTTGTGCCGTTGTTTCTTCTTCTATTTCTCTTTCTCTCTCGAACCTCTCGGTGCGCATGGATAGTTTGTCGGGGGCGGAAAAGAGGGGGGTGATGACTAGGGGGGGGTGGATATCGTGGCGTGGGCTATGATTTTTCCGCAGATTTCATGGCGCCTCTTGGCCGCTTCCCTCTTGGCCGCTCCCGAGTTTGCGGGCGCCCTCCACCCCTCGGGGCCGCCCCGAGCGTGCGAGACCGAGGTCCTGCTCGGCCAGCTGCTCCTCCTGGCGGCGTGGGGCGAGGCGCCAGGCGCCGTGCCCCCGCTGGCGGACGCGGACGCGGCGACCTTCCTGGCGCCCCTCCGGGGAGGAGGAGGAGGACAAGGGCGACGACGACGACGACGTCGACGTCGACGTCGACGTCGACGACGACGACGACGACGTCGTCGTCTTCGTCGTCGTCGCCCTTGTCCTCCTCGCCCTCGTCGCCCTCGTCGTCGCCCTCGTCGCGCCAAAAACGACGGCTGCGGCGAGCTAGCTTGCGACGCGTCGGCCGACGGCATGCGGGTCGGGGGGCCCTGGTGAGGGGGGGGTCGGCCCGAAGGTTGGTCCACTCTGGAGGAGCAGGAGGAAAAAGACAAGGACAAGGACTGATGGGTCCTCCTCCTCCTCCTCCTCCTCGTCTTCCTCCTCCTCCTCCTTCCTCCCTCCAACTTATGGTGGGGGTGGTGGAAAAATAGCCCATCAAGTAGGAGGAGGCGCACAATGAGGAGGACGAAAAAGAGGTCGTGGTGGAGGTGGTGGTGGGCGGGGAGGAGGACGACGACAGGGAGGGAAGGCCGGGGGAGGCGAACGACGAGGAGGATTTGCGTGGCATCTGTGGGGGACCTCTGTGTATTCTTCGGCGTCCAGGTATTCTCGGATAGCCACGCCATGGCTTCGGATGGTCTCGGATGGCATCGGATGTGGTGCAGGTGGCAGGGTGATGAGGGCGGAGAAGTTCCCCTATGTTTTTCAGCCTGTGAGGGTGCTTTTGGTCCTCGGAGACGTCCAGGATACTCCAGATTTCGTAATGAAGGGAGGGGGGTCTCATCTCGGGGGGGTCTCTTCCAGGCTATCTTGGAGGGCCTGGGGGGTCTGGGGGCGATGTTTTTGAGGGTTCTCCCACGGGGGAGGCCTGAAATGGCTTGTCTTGGAGCAGGATGGATCCCAAATAGATACTAACCTGGGTTTATAATGTTCCGGGATTGTTGACCAGGCTTCATTATGTTTCCCCCCGGAACATTATGAACTTGGGTTTTAATGTTCCGGACATATTGATTGGGGTTCATCATGTTCCCCCCGGAACATTATAAACCCTGGTTTATAATGTTCTGGGCCTACCGATCCCAAAGAGATGTGAACCTGGGTTTATAATGTTCTGGGAAAAATGACCAGGGTTCATAATGTCCCGGGAATAATGAACCCGCTTTTTGTAATTCCGGAATGATACTACTTTGTTTATTTTCCCCCCAACGCCCGGGTGCCGCACCAGGTTTTTCATGTTGGAATATTATTGATCCAGGCTCATTATCTGCAGGAGATAATAAACCTGGTTTCGTAATGTTTCCGGAATATTGACCCCGGGTTAATTTTTCTGGAATGATAATGATTCAGCCGCGGGGGGGGGTGTTGGAGAGTAATGACCCGATTGAAATAAACCGTTGTCCATAATGTTGGAATAATAATCTTCGGTTGCTTATTCCCGAAAGATAATGATTCAGCCGGGGGGGGGCTCAGCTTGATCCATCCACAGGACAAGAGACCACAGGGTATCATCTGAAGATAATGAACCTAGGTTTATCATTCCTTGATATTGAACCGCGGTCGACGAGGATTTCGCACCTACCCTCTCTTGGAGGGTCCAGATCCCCTCCCTTTTATTACGAAATCTGGAGTATTCAGGGCTTCTGCAGGGGGTGCTGTGAGGCCAGGGCGGTCCAGGAGGCGAAGGATGAGGAAGGGGCAGATATCGGCGGGCGCAGGCGGAGAGGCGGAGGAGCAGCAGGAGCAGGAGGAGGAGCCCGACTGGAGGAGGACTTAAGGGAGTGCTTGTGATGATGTTGATGCTGATGCTGATGTCGGTGATGATAATGATGATGATCATGCTCATGATCATGACGATAGTGATGAGGATGAGGATGAGGATGGGGATGAGGATGGGGGTGATGATTATTATTATTAGTATGATGCTGGTGTCGGTGCTGGTGATGATGGTACTGTAGGAGATGGCTGATGGTGAGGGTGATAACGGCGATGAGAATGATGATGATTTAATGGCGTTGATTATGGTGTTTGTAATGATGATGATGATGATGATGATGATGATGATGATGATGATGATGATGATGATGATGATGATGATGATGATGCTGATGATGATGATGATGATGATGATGCTGATGATGATGATGATGACGATGCTGATATTGATGCTGATGATGCTGATGAAAATTATGATGATGAGGCTAGATGGCAAATGTTGTTGTTGCTGCTGCTGGTGACGATGGCGACGACGAGCGCGACCACGATGCGAATGCGATGCTGGTTATGGCGACGATGATGATGGTGACGATGACGATGCTGATGATGATGCTGATGCTGATGATCATGATGGTGATCATGATGCTGCCGATGATGATGACGTTGATGCTGATGATGGTGATGATGATGGTTTTGCTGATGATGCTGGTTTTGCTGATGACGATGATGCTGATGATGATGGCAATGATGCTGATGATGACGATGCTGATGATGCTGATGATGCCGCTGCTGCTGATTATGCTGATTATGGTGATGATGATGATGATGATGATGATGATGATGATGATGATGGGAATGATGATGATGCTGATAGTGATGATGAAATTTATGCTGATTCTGCTGATGACGATTATGATGATCATGCTGATAATGATGCTGAGGATGACAATTACGATGGTGATGCTGATGATGATAATCATGATGATGATGATGATGATGATGATGATGATGATGATGATGATGATGATGATGATAATGATAATGATAATGATGATGATGATGATGATGATGCTGATGATGATTATGATTATGATGATGACGATGATGCTCATGGTGCTGATGATGATGGTGATGGTGATGGTGATGGCGGTGGTGATGGTGAGGAGGAGGAGGAGGAGGAGGAGGAGGAGGAGGAGGAGGTGGAGAAGGATGAGGTGGAGCAGAAAGAGGAGACAATGAGTAGGAGGAGGACGAGGCAGAGGGTGGTTGCATGATGCGACTGCAAGTAAAGTCTCGGGGATGGTTGGAGATAATCTTCAGGGATTCCAAAGTATGATTGCGGGGTCTTTAGGGTTCTACGGTGTCACGGAGTTGCACACACACGAGGGAGGTTGACCCAATGCGTGCAGCTTACGATGACAACCAGCTTCCTGAGCCCAGCCTGGTGGACCTCGTCAACGAAGAGTTCGAGGACTGCAGCGCCGACATCGCATGCAGCATGGACGACCTCGCGGGGCACGTGGACGAGCAGGGCGACGCCGACGTTCACCGGCCTCGAACGTATCCCTACCCCTAAGACTGACACGCTAGAAGGAGATGACAATCTCAGGGATACACCCTCAGAAGATGAGGAAAGCCCTAAGGTCACCATCGTGATGAGGCGATGCCCAACAGAGGGATAGGGATCTGTTCCAGGCCGGTAAGGCGTGGCCAACAACCGTGCCCGCTGCCTTGCCGAACTCGTCTCCGGGAGGTCTCGAAGGACCTCTTCGGCACAACCCGCACGACGGCCAAACCGAGCCGTCGTCAGGAAATTTGGGCGCAGCTGCAGCGGTCAGCGGCTGGGCTCAGAGGAGGAAACAGGTACCCATACCGCTATCCTTGCCTCGTCTCGCTTTGGGGGGCCTCCTGGGAGGCCTCGTCGCCACCATTCGATTCGACTCGAAGTCCTGTTCAGAACGCCGCCTGGGAGAGGTCTTGGGTTGTAGCGGTACGGGGTACCTCGTGGCTGCCCAGAGACAGCGCGCCGACGAGGGTGGGCACCACGCGCCAGGCGGAGCTGCCTCCCACGAGGCCTCCGTGGACGGAGCCGCAGCATCGTCGGCAGCCGCGTGCATGCGTGGCCCGCGGGGGGCGCGGCGCAGGCGCGGGGCCGAGGCGCCTCGGGCCGAGGCGGCTGCCGGCGCACCGGGCGCCGGCCGCCGCTCGCGGCGGTCTCCTGAGTGCAGGTTCGGCGGCAGGCCCTGCTCAAGAGCCCGAGTGGCCTCGGCGGGGGCAGCGGAGGCCCCGCGGGCGGCTGGCACGCGCGGCGGGGCCAGGCCGCGGAGGCCCGCAGCGGCGCCCGGTCGGCCGCCGGAGCGGGAGTTATGGGCGGCAGGGTAGCGGTCCTGCGTCGGCGGCTATAGGCAGGGGACCCAGGCCCCCTCGAGTAATGAGAAAATCACGAAAGGAGGTTTTTCCTAATTTTCGGCCTTTCGAGGCCCTTACCGGCCCTCGGGACCGTCAAAAAACGACTCAGGATGAAAAACCGGTCCCGGGGAATGGGTCGAGATCTCTGGGGGTCGACGTCATGAAAAAATCAGAACGTCGGGGGTCTGGGGACGTCTGCGCTGGCGGTGGAGGCCCAACTGGGGATGCCGTTAGAGCGCGAACTGCGCCACCGTGCAAGAGGAGGAGCGGGGAGAGGGCGCGGCCGAAAGAGGGGCGGACGGAGCAAGGGGCGGCAAGGTGACAGCCGATCAGCGGGTGCGGTCCCTCACTTGTTCAGGCCCGTCGACTCTGCAACCGGTTCTGCGCCGCCGCCGGATCTGGGAGGGCATTATCGGGTGCGCTCATATGGAAGCGGGCATGGAGAATCGGCGCGGATATTGCCAGCACCTCTTCTTGTTCTCTTCTTGGAGTGCGTTCTTGCCTTCGCGAAGCGGGGCACGAAAGACGTCCGCAGCTCAGGTAACGCCTTTACGCTTGCCGCCTTTCTGGGATGGTGGAGTGGCGGCGCAGCGACGGCAATCAAAGCTCGCGTCGAGATAGATGGGAGTTCTGTCCCTCGCAAGACCACTTCCTGAGCCTAGTCGTGTAGCAGGTGCGTTGGTTGACGCGTTTTTCAAGGTTGGCGTGTGCGTGTTTCTGTCTGTCTGGATTGTTCTGATTCCATGTAGCCGAGGTCGAGGTCGAGGTCTTCGAACGGCCTCGACGTCGCATGCGTGAGCATCACCGCATCGCATGCGCGAGCGCTGCTCAAGCGCTGCGCGTGCCAGCGAGCGCGCGTTCGTGCGCGAGGGGGGAGGCCCGCATCCCATCCTTCCACTGCGTGCAGGACTGGCGGGGAGGGCGCGCGGACATCTCCCGCCGCGCAAAGTGACGTGCGGGCCGCGAGCTACCTGGGCAGCGGACCGTGTAGCATGTTTTCTTCCAGGCGCGGTCGGGGACAGCGCGGCGCAAGCTCGACCCCGACCGCCGTGGTGCGACGTCGCCGCGCAGGCAGGCTTCGCGCGAGCTGGAGGGGGGCGCGCGCGCGCGCGCGAGAAGCGTCATCGAGCGTCCTCGCGCGTCCTCGAGCGTTTCCACGTGGGGGCTCCGAGGGGCCCCGCGCGGCCCCTTCTGGACCGCGCGCCCCTGGTCGGGCGCTCCCTGGCACGCGCTCCCGCGGACGCCAAAGGGGCCCGCGCGGCGCCCGCGAGCACCTCCGCAGCCGCCCCGAGGCCGAGCCGCCAGGGGCACGCGCTCGGCATCGCTCGGACGTGTGCATCTATCGTTCGGCGAGGACCATCGAGGAGCATCCTTGATCACTTCGCGGAAAAAACCACGCACGAGACCGAAAAAAACACAGGAAATGGACGTCCGAGCGATGGCCCGCGCGAGGCCACTCCCTGGGGGGCCGCGGCGGCCCGCGAGCCTGCCTCTGCGCCCCTCCCGCCGCCCCGCGGGGCCCTGCTCGGCAGCCCGCCGGGCGCCCTGCGCGGGCGGCCTCGCTCGCGGGGCGGGCGAGCGGGCGGGCGGCGAGGCGGGGCGCGCGAGGCGGCGCCCGCTGGGCGCCCTGCCCGCGGGCGGCCTCGCTCGCGGGCGGGCGCGCGGGGTGCGGCCCGCGCCCCCGCCGGCGCGCCCCGCCAGCGCGCCCCCGCTCGGCTGCCGGCGCGAGGGCGCCGCAGCGCCGCGCGGCAGCCCGGGGGCCGGGGGCCGCTCGGCGGGCGCGGGCTGCGCGGCGGAGGCGCGGAGCAGTGCTGGGCGCGGGGGGCACAGGGCTCGCTCGGCGGCCACGTGCGAGCCAATGCCCCACCACCCCACGATGTCGGAGGGGGGAGGTGGGCTGCACCCCGTGTCCTGTGCCGGTTGTGCCTTGGCGCCTCTGCCGTGGCCCCGTTGACGGTGCACTGGTGCTGCCTCCTTGCCGGGGCCTTCTGGACGCGGTGCTGCCAACACCGGGAGTCGACACGTGCTGCCAACACCCGGTGCTGCCAACACCCGGTGTTGACTCCTTGCCAACGCCAGAAACGTTCAATACACGTCGGGATCAGGTTTGGGGATTTGTCCGATGCCGTTGGTGCGACTTCTGATTTGCCGTTGCTCTTTGTCGCCTCTGTTTCTTGTTCTTTCTTGGCCCAGCGCGCGTGCGTTTTCCTTCTCGCCTCTCGTGGCCCTCAACCCCTGAGCCCCACGCCTGCTTCGCGTCGTGATCCTATTCCGTACGTCTTGGTTGTTGTCATGTTCTTCCGCGCTGCTGTCCCCGGCCCCATCCCTCTTGCCCGTCGCCCCGGTTGGTCGTTGTCTGTCTTGTTTATCCATCTAGGCCTCCTAGATGGGGTCGGAGTAGATGGGGTCGGAGGATGAAGCCGCATCGCCGATACATCGGTGATGTGGCTCGATTTGGATCCCGGTTTTTTCCCCGCCGATAGGCGCAGATGCCTCGCCGACGTCGCCGATGCATCGCCGATGCATCACCGATGCATCGGCGACGCATCGGCGCGATCTCCCGACCCCGTCTGCTCGGACCCCATATACGAGGCTCCTAATATGTTCTGAATTTCATTGTAGCAAGGGGGGCACAGCTCTCCCAGACGAGCAGCCTTAGGCACCCCAGACCAGCCATGAGAGGGCGGCGCTCTGGCCACACCCCCTGAGACCCTCCAGGTCGGCTCACATCAGACCCCTCCCCAAAAATCAGGCCACACCGTCCTCGAGTTCGGAGTGCCCGCGTCCTCCTCTCGGGCGTCGCGCGATGGGGGGGGGCGACAGAGGGGTGGGGGGGGGGGGCAGTGAGGGCTGCCGACGACAAGGGGACCAGGACCTCCGGGGCCCGAGCACTGCACCCTTCCCCCCCCCCGTGCATCGCCCCCCCCCTAAATAGTTATCGTCGGCGTCCTGCTCCTCCGCTTCGTCCGCCCCTCCCCCCCCTGCCCCCTCGTCAGTTCCTCCCTCCCCTGCGGGCAAGACATTGTGTCCACCTCCACTGCGGCTTGGAGCTCGGGCGCCCCTCCCCAGAGACCCGAGGCGCACTGGACGTGGACAGGAAAATCCGCCCCCCCCCCCCGCCCCAGAGGCTAGACTTTTATCCATAGGCGGTGCGCCTCAGCCTTGGACATCAACAGTGCCTGCATCCCTTGCCCTCGCCCCCCTCGTCCCCTGCCCTCGTGCCCCTCGTCAACCCCCCCCAGTGATCGCCCCGAAGTGGTACGAATTACAACCGACTAGGACCAATCCCAACCGTTCGGGGTGAACTGCAACCAGAAAAGAGACCAATTCCAACCACAAATGAGACCAATTCCAACTCAGCCAAAAATGAGACCAATTCCAACCACGGATGGGATCTTCAGAATTCCTCAGGATTCTTCAGGACTCCTTCGGAATTCCTTGGGATTCCTGTGGAATTCCTCACGATTCCTTCGGAATTCCTTAGGGTGCTTTCGGGATTCCTCCGGCTTCCTTTGGAATTCCTTCGGAATCCTTCGGAATCCTTCGGGATTCCTTGTGGATTCCTCCTTCGGGATTCCTTGTGGATTCCTCCTTCGGAATTCCTTTGGATTCCTCCTTCGGAATTCCTTTGGATTCCTCCTTCGGAATTCCTTTGGATTCCTCCTTCGGAATTCCTTTGGATTCCTCCTTGGACTACTACTACTACTACTACTACTACTACTACTACTACTACTACTACTACTACTACTACTACTACTACTACTACTACTACTACGACTACTACTACTACGACTACGACTACGACTATGACTACGACACCGTTTACGACTACTACTACTAGTGCTACTACTACTACTGCCACTACGGCTACCACTACTACCATTATTACGATTCAGACTATTACAACTACGACTACGACTACGACTACTTCTACTACGACTACTACTACCACTACTACTACTACTACTACTACTACTACTACTACTACTACTACTGCTACTACGACGACTACTACAACTACTGCAACTACCACTACTACTACTACTACTACTACTACTACTACTACTACTACTACCACTACTACTACTATTTGTCTTACTGCTACTACCACCACTACTTCCACTATTACGACTTCTACTACGACTACTGCTGCTACTACAATTGCTACTTATTTCATTTTTCACTACTACTACGACTATTACTACTACCACTACTGCTACTACGACCGCTACTACTACTACTACTACTACTACTACTACCACTACTACTTTTACTACTACTACTACTACTACTACTACTACTACTACTACTACTACTACTACTACTACTACTACTACTACTACTACTACTACTACTACTACTACTTACGACCACTACTACTACTACTACTACTACTACTACTACTACTACGCTACTACTACTACTTCTACTACTATACTACTACTACTACTACTATACTACTACTACTACTACTACTACTACTACTACTACTACTACTACTACTACTACTACTACTACTACTACTACTACTACTACTACTACTACTACTACTACTACTACTACTACTACGACTACTACTACTATTACTACTACTACTACTACTACTACTACTACTATTACTACTACTACTACTACTACTACTACCTCTACGACTACTACAACTACTACGACTACTACTACTAGTACCAGGAAGATCCATTTGCATATTTTAGAATCGATGTTTACGCTTCGGTGCCCTCTTGCTCATCTTAACGTAGTGATCGTGTGCAAACCAAAACTGAGACCAATTCCAACTCGAGCATGCATGTTGGCTTCCAGATCCTGTGCGTTGACATAAGGAATGCCACTTGGTCTTCGCACTCGTCTTGGGCTTCTCTACACTTACAATCCTATTGTGGGCCTATCCCAAGATGGTTGGGATTGGGCCCAGTTTGCTTTTCGCATTGGTTGGGATTGGTCCCAGTTGGTTGGGATTGGGCCCAGTGGGTTGGGATTGGGCCCACATGCGTGATCGCCCCCCCCCCCCCCCTTCAGCGGCGCCCGGAGCTCCCTCCCCGCCTCTTGGCCTCCTGCGTTCCTCGGCCTTCTGCCCCTGGCTCCTCTGTTTTCCCCCGCATCCGGAGTGGGGTTCTCGTTCCCCACATCCTGAATGGGGTTCTCGATTTCTTTGCACGCCTTCGCGCAGGATGACCTCCCATCCTCGCCCATCATCAGCACACACACTCATTCATAATCATCCGCACACTCTCACACACACACACCCTCTTCTACACTCATCACTATCACCATCCCATCGTGATAATCGACCAAGAGGGAGCGTCGTTTGTTAGTTGGTGGGAGGATGTCTCAGGCGGGAGCCACCTCCCTATGGGGTCCGCACTTCACGTTGGTAATCCGAGCGGGTCATCAGATCTTGTAACTGTCGTCACTTTTCGGCTCTTCTGGACTGAGTGAATATAGAGGAAATCGCACGCCCCCTCCTTATGGGGTCCGCGCTTCATGTTGGCAATCCGAGCGGCTCATCGAGATCGTGTAAGTGTCGTCATGTGTCGGCTTGTCTTGAGTGGGTATGGAGGAAGTCTTACGCGGGGGTTCGTCTGTTAGTGCATTGCGAGAAAATCTCAGGAGGAAACTCCCTCCCTCCCTATGGGGTTCGCACTTCATGTTGGTAATCCGAGCGGGTCATCGGAATCGACAGCTGTAACTTTTCGGCTCCTCTGGACTGAACGAATATGGAGGAAATCTCACGCGGGGGTTTCGTATGAGAGCGAAGTGCGAGGGAGTCTCAGGCGGAAGCCCTCTCCCTATGGGGTCCGCGCTTCACGTTGGCAATCCGAGCGGGCCATCGAAATCGTGTAACCGTCGTCATGTGCCAGCTTTTCTTGATTGAGTACGGAGGAAGTCTGACGCGGTGGCTTCGTCTGTGAGTGCACGTTGGCAATGCGAGCGGGTCATCGGAATCGTGCAACAGCTGTAACTATTCGGCTTCTCTGGACTGAATGAATACGGAGGAAATCTCTCGCGGGGGCTTAGTCTGTGAGTGAAGTGCGAGAGAGTCTCAGGCGGGAGCCCCTCCCTACGGCGACCGCGCTTCATGTTGGTAACCCGAGCGGGACATCGGCGAACTCTACCAGGCATAGCAGTTGAGCACCCCACAAAGGGCACATCACGAGGCGTCCCTCGCGGAGTTGCAAGGAAGGCTCATTCGGAAGCCCCTCCCTAGTCACAAGTCGCTCGGGGAGTTCGACAAGAGAGCGGTGGACTCCAGGGCTGAGACGGAGCAGCTCGCGGCAGAGCTGACGTTCGTGCTGCCGCTCGCCTGAGCGCGGCCGCGACAAATTCGGTACATGCAAGGTTGTCCCAACGGCCTGCTCTCGCGCCCCAGCGGCTCGCGGGGTTGCCCTAACGGCCTGTACCCCGACGGCTTCGTGATTTTGCCATCGGAGAACCTGCCAGTAGCGCTGAACCCTCCGGGGTTCGGGCCTGTGTTACTTGTGGCTGGAGCGCTAAACGCTCTGGGGTTCGCGCTCGGAACACATTCGGCGCTGAACCCTCCGCCAGCGCACGCTTTGGGCTGCGCGCGCGAGGGCAAGCGCTTCCCGCCAGAGGTCTGGGTTGCCTGGGAGAACATTTTTGGCCTCGGACAGCCGCGGCGTCTTGGACCTCGGCACCAGCGCCAGAACTTCCGCCTCGGCTACGGCGTGGGCATATATTCGGAAACGCTGACAAGGTGAATCAACACGCTCGTTCGTTGCGACGCACGGCGTCTTGGCGTGTCCCCGGTTTCCCGGCGGGCCGTGGAAGAGCGCAGCGCGATTCGAGGCGATCCAGGCGCGGGCCGGCGCCTCCTGAACGCCCCGAACGCGCGCAGGACGGGGGACATCCACGGCGTCTTACCGGCACGCGTTGGCCTGGAGGTTCGGTTCGCGGCCACGCAAGAGTTTTTTGTCTGGG